TCTTCAGAGGCTCCTGAATACTTCCTGTTCCCCTTATTTAAAATTCTGGGTTAGAAGCTGAGTTCTCTGTTTCTCTGTTCTAACTGGAATCTAGAAGAGAAGCAGGGAGTGCAAAATGAAGCTAAAGCTGGGGGTGGAGTTGGGGGAGGGAGGGCAATTCCAGCTGGTTTTGTGTCAAGTTCTCAGAAGCTAGGGTCATTTAGGAAAAGGGAACATCACTTAAGAGAATGTTCCCACCAAATTGACATTTGTTCAAGATATGTGAGGCATTTTCTTGATTGATGATTGATGTGGGAGGGCTGTCACTTCTGGGTTGGTGGTCCTGGGTTCTATAAAAAAAAAACAAAGCAGGCTGAGAAAGTCATGGGGAGCAAGCCAGTAAGCAGCACTCCTCCATGGACTCAGCATCAGCTCCTGCATCCAGATTCCCACCTTGTCTGAGTTCCTGCTCTGACTTCTCTCAGTGATGGACTGTGCTGTGGAAATGTAAACTTAAACAAACCGTTTTTCTCCCGAGGTTTTCTTTGACTGTGGTGTTTCATCACAGCAATAGGAGTATGCAGCACAACAGAAACAAGGGAATCCTTGTCTCAAAAATGAGGTCACACACACACACACACACAAATGAACAAAGTAGAAAAATTTTTAAATATTCTAAATGCTTTACATATTAATTCAGTCTTCACAACAGTCTCATGAATACAGTGACTATCCCCACAATAAAGATAAAGAAACTGAAATACAGAGAAGTTAGCTCACTTGCCTGAGAAGGCAAGAGAAGAGAGGTGCTTCACAGATCCAAGTGGGTTAGCCCAAAGCCTTCAATCTTAACTGCTACGTTGTGTTAACTCTCAGTGCTGTCTGTGTTGTCCCATTTCAGAGGAAGACATTCAACAGTGAAGACCTAGTAAGACTGAAACTTAAGTTCACTTAGCACCAAGTTATGTTCTCTTCTCTCTTTGCCATTCAACACAAAACCATAGTTAACTGGTAAATCATCAGTTGAAAAACAGCCAAACATAAGACTAGAGTTCATGTATAGTATAAATAAGGCCTGAGGCTCAATCCAAGAACCAGAAAGACCACATTTAAAGATTTTATTTAGAACAGCCTTGTATTGTTACACCACAAGGTTTCCTCCTTCATCCTGACCCACTCATAGTCATCTGGCATAATTCATATGAATTTTCTTCATCAAGTACAAAATAGTGCATGTTTGAGAATGGTGGTCAAGATGTCTTATCATGAGTTACAGATTGAAAAGCATTTCAACAAATCCAAAAGACAGGTTAAACAGCCGTGTGTGTGTGTGTGTGTGTGTAGTGTGTGCATGCATATAAGTTTTAAAAATCAGTTCCAGCACATGGAAAAAGGACCCTGAGTTGACAGCACTTTCTATGTAGCTATGCAAACTGGCTCAAGGAAAAGAACATTTTTTCTGAAAATGAAATCTCATAAAATGTTTTTGCAAAAAATACAGCTGTGTCTCACAGAAGGAAAGAAACTATTAGCTGGCTATTCTTTCTGAACCTACTCCCTTGAATGTATACTAAGTCCTCTTGAGAAGCCAGATTTCATTTACTTATGAATCTGGTTCAGACCACAGGGTTTAATAGCTCTACTGACAGACACCAGCACAGTCTAACCACTGACTCTACAGCTCAGTCCAAATTAACGATCTTAATGTCTGCCTGGATCCAATCAACTATTACCATGGAAAAGAGGCATGTATTCTCTCTTAAAAGACACTTCTAATGAATTAGATATGGAATGGAAAAGAATCTCACAAGCAGAAAATTACTATAAGATGGAAGTAATTAACCACTGAAGCTAAACCACTGACTCATGAACTATAATCACAGTTGAGTGAAAACTACCTGATTAAAATACAGTAACTCTAACAGGAAAGTAACATTTGAAACATATTTGAAGGGATATTCATAAACTGTAAGAAGACCAAGAAAAAAGAGCTGAAATAATATGTGGAGAAATAATGATGTTAAATGAAAAAAGCAAGGAAGTCTATGTTAATAATCTTAGAAAAGAAAAGGCACATGCTCTTGGATCTTCGAGAGACATAGGGTGGAAGACAGTTGCTCTGCTTGGTGGAGCACAGCTGGCTGATGTAAAAAAAATAATTGGGCATCTATTATCCCAGCTGCCCCCACTCCTAGGAATCCTAGTTGGGCAATGCTGTCAGGTTCTGTATCTTTCTTTTTCTAGCCAAGCATTTTACCTGTTTAGTAAGTGGCTATTGAGCTTGCTGCCAGATGGTAATGTGAGTATTATATTTAAAAGATGGTGGATTCACAAGTAACCCTATTAGCTCTGTGATGATGAGTACACGTGCAATTCTGTGATCTCTGATGAGCTTGGAATGAAGTTGCAATTAAAAAGTTTATTCCAAAATTCTCTAACAGAGACATTTTCAAACTTTAGCTATGGCAATAATGGCAATGACCCAGCAAGTTTTACTGGACATTTTGTGGCTTCAACTAAGACATAAATTGAAGAATTTCTAGATATGAGAACATGATGAGTAAATGTAAATTTTCTCTTAATTCTGAGGCTGGAAGAAAGGGACCTCAGGTCCTAGTCTAGAATGCCCTCCAGAAAAAAAAATTGCATTAAAACGTATAGACATGATGCAATAAAGGTGATATTCTGCTTTTGATTGTGTCTTTGGGAACAGAGTAAGTGTCAAAGACTAAGGAACAAAGTCCTGAGGAAGGAGAATTTATACAGTTCTAGTTACCTGGTATTGGTTATGATAATCTTGCAAGAAGCATTAGTTTAGAAATGTAGAGCATACAAGTTGATGTCATGATAAACACAAAGGAAAATCAAAGTACTGTGCATATGATAGTGTTCCAGCCCAGAACACACACGTCATCATCTAATGAGTCATCAGGTGAAAATCTAGAGAAAACACAACCATAAACAAAACCTTGCCCACAGAATCAACAAGATCACTGAGAGGCAAGCTGATTGGTCTCAGCTTTCTCTGCATACTCAGGGTTTGCTGCAAGGAAAAGCCAATCACAGAATGCTGGGTATAAAGAAATGGAGGCCAGCAATGCCTTCATAGCAATCTGTTCAAGGATGGAGAGGAGGAGCCACCCTGGGCATCTAAGTGAGAAGTTGACTTAGAATTAGGAATACGATTTTATAATAAATATAACCACAAAACATTATGTGATCTGGAAGCCTACTTACAATCAAAATAGAATAGCAAGAACCAGATTTACCATTCACTTAAAAGAAATTATCTGAGACAGTTACCTAGAGTAACAGCATTCAAGATGCTGTATGCAAAGCAATGAATAGCAGTGACCAGTTGGAGATAGAAAACAATGAGGTAATCCCTAATACTCCCAGCATGTCTTAATGGAGTAGAGACGGTCCCTGGGCCACCACCATGCCCGCCTCTCCCTGCCATTGCTAGCCCTGCTGTGAGGAGAAGAGCACTGGCCTAGGTGCTGCCTTTGGGCTGCAAATATGGTGGATGCTCCCAAGGCACTGGTGGAGTGGTCCACGCTGAGGGCAAGGTCCTGCTCCAGTACATGCCGAGCAACTGCCTGATCACCGTGCTGAGCATCGACAAGATGAAGAATGGTCATTTTCTGGGTTAAATTTCCTTGGAGGACTTCTGTGATCCGTGCTGCCACCAGAAAGCATGATGATGTCCGTGATCTGTGCTGCCAGTGGAGACCATGTCGATGCCCGTGACTCACATACAGCCAGAGATCATGTTGTTGTCCATGATCTACAATGCTGCTAAAAACCAGGTTGATGCCCATGATCCTGACTCCAGCAACTAGGGGCCGGTGGGCAGGGAGGCATCTTTTAAATTAGTGTTGATGACTGCAGATCCACAACTCAGAATGAGAGATATTGAAGGCTGCTGTGCCGGCTTCTTTGACCTCCTCCTGCCCCAAAAGAAACAGTCCAGACAGGAATCTATTGAAGAGAGTCCTATGATAAAGATGCCGAAGTGTAGCTCTGCACAGTTGATGACTTCTGGCAGGTGAGGGGGCTACTCGGTTTTCTTTTGGTTTTGAGTCTAGCCTTTAATGGCTGAACCATCTCTCCGGCCCAACTCAGTTTTCTTTAAGGGGCTAGACACAGGGAGTTTGACCAGACTCCAGTGAAAATATATAGGCAACAGAAATTGGACTTGGTTTTTGTTTGGGGTATTTTGGGGGACAGGGGGTGCAAGGGTGGGAGGATGGGCCTGGTAGGAATGGGAGGTTAATGTGATTGGGGTACATTTTATGAAATTCCCAAATAATTAATAAAAGCACACTATATTGAGGGAAAAATAGAATTTCTAGATTGTAATGGGACAAGACAATGCAAAGGGTCCTCATCTTGTGTTCTAGCTGAGGACATTCCAGGTTTAACTAGAATTTGATCTCCTTGGTGGAGAATCCCAACTCTATTCTAGGACCCAAAGGTCAGGATGTCCTAGATAACTTAGCTTAGCCTTTGTTAAAACTGCATTGTTTGTACAGACCCTCCTTCAGCTAACCATTCACCTCAGCTGCCTATTTGTGTGGAACCCACTCCGGCTGGCTAACTACTTATCTTAATCTCTGTGAAAACTGCTTGCTTCAAACTGCTTACTCTGCAAAGCTCCCAGCCCCATTCCCCTGCAGCTGCTGAGCAAGATGCCTGGATGAGGTCCCCGCCCTTAAAAATCCCACCTTCTGGACACTCGGGGACACACCTGGGTCCCCGAACACTTGGGTGTGGTTCCAGGCACCTCCAAATGGCTGTATACTGTATCTGAGTGGTCATCTCTGAGGAGCTGCCTACAATAAGATCACAGCTCACAAAGCGGGAATTGAGAATCAATGGATTATCTGACTTAAGGAAACAAACTGAGAGAGGCCAATGAAGCCAAAGTTTGTAGGACTAAACGACTTAGGGTTTCTGTGCCTGTGGTGTAATACCAGAACCAAAAGCAAATTGGGGGGAGGGGGTTTATTTCCACTTACTCCTTATAGTCCACCATCCAGGGAGATCAGGACATGACATCAAGGGGAGAGCTGATGCAAGAAGGAATCATGTTTTGTGGGAGCCAGAGCGACCCAGGGCTTTCTCAAAGGCCCTGTGTCCTTGTTCAGTAATGGACTTGGCAAGGCCAGCCTAAGGCTGGAACCAGTGTTGGTCCTCACCTTTGCTTAGCTTCAGAACTAGGTTTTATGGAGTCTCCCCCTTCCCCTGCCCTTGATGACTCAGCCACAATTGCTGTACTTTTCCACCTCTGTGTGGGCATGCTCTCCCCCCTCTTCCCCCTCCCCCCGCCCCGTTCACCTCATGTGAACCACCATGCTGGCTTAACCTGCTGCTGTCTCTGGTTCCAGCTCTAATAAAACCCTTGAGAGACCTTGCGGTTGGTTCCATGTTACTCTGTGGTAACTCTCTCACTCCCGAAAAGCCTGGGTACCCCTTGAACCAGGACCTCCTCAAAGAGTCAAGGTTGCAGTTTCTAGGGACCCTACTCTTCCCCTTCGGTTATGACTAACAGTTCTTAGGCAGCTGTGTCGTCATTTTTGTCTGACTTAGCTCTCTGCTGGTCTTGCTAGTTTTTCTCCTACAAATAGTAGACATAATGCTGTACTTTTTAAGTAACCTTGTTTTGCATAAATCATCAGTGTAAGCCCCAGGAGCAACACGAGTGGTCAGGCTGCTCCCCTAGGACCTCCAACTGCCAGGTTCCACTCACAGAACACTCTTAACTGCCCTAACAGCTGAGCCCAGTCCCCTACTCCACAGAGTGAAAAGCCCTATCTCTGGGCATGAAATTCCACCAGTCTCCACCTGGAAAGCTTCACACTGAAAAGTTCCACCCCCATCCCCAAGAAACTGTGTAAGCCCTGTATCCTGTTCAGTTGTGTGCTGTTTCTCACTCGAGCAGAGGCAGCCAGCCTCCTGGTTTTTCCCCCTCTTACGTGAGGTCTGTTTTGTGGTGTGACTTTGTGGTATTCCTTGGCTCCAGTCTGCCAGGATACCTTTCTATCCAAGCTATAACTTACAATCAGCTTTTGGAAGACCTCTTGGTCCCAGCTATTACTTTTCTCTTCTTGTCTTCTGTTTCTCATTCCTGATCTTCCCACTCAACACTCTGGTCATCTGGGACCCTTATTCCTGATAGTTTGGGGCAGCTTATTGGCTTGCTCCTCGTGCCTTGCTCATCCTGCTTTCCTACAGCACTAGGATCACCATGGGGGGGGGATGGCATTACTCACAACAGACTGGGCCCTCCCACATCAGTCTCTAATTAAGAAAATACCCTACAGGTTTGCCTACAGCCCAACCTTATGGAGGCATTTTCTCATTTGAGATTCTTTCCTCTCAAATGACTTTAGCCTGTATTGAAGTAACGTAAAAACCAGACAGCACACCAAATATGGAAGAAGTATTAAATACACAGAAAAAAAAACAGAACTCTGAACAAGGTGCCCACAAACATTTAGTAGAATTCTTATTTATACATGGTGTAGAAACTATCTCCAGGGCTAGGGAAAGAGATATCCAAAAGACTAGAGGTAGCAGGGCCCCTTTAAGTATATCCAGAATTCAGGAAGGAGACTATTGCTGGACAGCTTGTGCCTTAATTCTTTAATTCATTCATTACTCCAGCTCTAGCCTCTTATCACTGTTGACCTGTTTTAAAGGGTCTTTCGTGTAGATATTTTTAAATGCCCTGTTGGATTTAGATAATGAGTGAAGATAAAAATAAATGTTGTCCCCATGGCATGGCACAGTAGCTACAGATAAGGCTTTTTTTTCATCAATAACACAACCATGTTAAAAACTTGTTTCAATCCCTGAATTCACCTTCATGTATTGTCAAGTTATGATAAGTTTAAGCATGGAAGAATATGATTTAAGTGATGAGAAGCCTACAAATGCAAATAATTACTGTTTGAATGGCCAGTTTCACTTGTACTATCTATTGTAACATTTTAAATAGTTTCATCATGTCTCTCCTCATTCTTTATCTTCCAAGACAGTCTATTCCTAAGTTTTAGAATCCACCGGATATCCCTGTACCTTCTTTGTTATTGCGTTTTTTTCTGGGCATTTCCTTTCATTTAAAAATTTAAAGAATATCACTAATGGTTTCCTAAGAGGATTCAAAAGCCATCTCCACATGGATGGTTCTATACACTGTGAGTTCTGCCTTCAGGATGCTGACCTCCCTTTTATAACCATATTTCCCAGGCAGACCTGTAACTTCCTGACTTTTGGAAGACGGGGCACATTAAATGACTGAGCAGAATTTTTGTTCCTTTTCTTGATTTGGGAGCAGTGGGGACTTCATGCTCCTGAGTTAGCAGCATTAGCAGTTTCTTGACTAAATGAGATAGAGAGAGAGAGTTCCTGTATGATGAGATACAGAGAGTTCCTATATGATGAGATAGAGAGTTCCTGTGTGATGAGATAGAGAGAGTTCCTGTATGATGAGATAGAGAGAGTTCCTGTATGATGAGATAGAGAGTTCCTGTATGATGAGATAGAGAGTTCCTGTATGATGAGATAGAGAGAGTTCCTGTGTGATGAGATAGAGAGTTCCTGTATGATGAGATAGAGAGTTCCTGTATGATGAGATAGAGAGTTCCTGTATGATGAGATAGAGTTCCTGTGTGATGAGATAGAGAGTTCCTGTATGATGAGATACAGAGAGTTCCTGTATGATGAGATAGAGAGAGTTCCTGTATGATGAGATAGAGAGAGTTCCTGTATGATGAGATAGAGAGAGTTCCTGTATGATGAGATAGAGAGTTCCTGTGTGATGAGATAGAGAGTTCCTGTGTGATGAGATACAGAGAGTTCCTGTGTGATGAGATACAGAGAGTTCCTGTGTGATGAGATACAGAGAGTTCCTGTATTTTGGCCATACGTCCTGGTGGCACTCGAGAGCAGCTGTTCCTGGGAAAAGGAAGCAACCCCCTTCCTAAGCTTGCTTATGGTTAGTTCTGGCCATGGGCACTGCTGGAGGTCAGCCAAGAGTCTGCTTCTCTAACCTGTCTTATGATCTATGGCCACCTAGCACCCCTCTTTAAATCTCTGCTGCTTAGTACAGGTAAAGCAGCCTTCTTTTTTGTCACTTAGCACTTGGATGTCTCACAGGGTCTATGCTTTGAGGCCTAGCACACCTTTATTTTTGTATACTTTAAACCGAGTATCAGGCCAGTTAACTTTTCATCACTGCAGTTGGCTTACATTCCTAGCATTTCACGATGCATCCTGGATCCTTTAGCAGAAAACAGACTGCAGAGGAATAAAGCTTTGATAATAGGCCCTAGACACATGGTGGAATGAAAACACTATGGATGGCACAAGTCAGATCCACAGGCACAAAGCTTCAGAGAGAAAAGCATCTTTGGATGCTACAAGCAGAGAATAACCGAGGATGCTTTCCCAAGATGTCTTCTCACGGTGTCTGTAAACATTCCACTGTCTTTCATTCTACCTCTGAGAGCAAGTAAAGGACCTTCACTGAAAAGACCACCAAAGTTCAATTTTAGTTAAGGAGCATTTCTTTCACTTGGAAGGAGTGGAGAGGCATTCAGATACTAACCTTAGAGCTTACATCATACCATCTTAGTTCATGTTAAGTTGCTGTTTCCAGTTAATTGGACAATATTTACTCTTTAAAAAATTATTTTGCATTTATTTACTTATTTAGCATAGGGGGTGTGTGTGTACGAGCTCGCCAGCATGCACCTGGTCCTCTGGCAATCAGGGCTGTGGGAAGGGCTGGTCCAGCTGGTCACTTTCCGGGCTGAGAGGGATGGTGAGTGTCTGAGTGTCAACGACCCAGACCCCCTTCCTAGTCACTGGAGAGAACCACACTGAGTCGTGGAGACCTGTTGAAGCAGAATCTCGCTTTATTGTAGCAGGCATGCACTTATCTAGGGTTGAGACAGAGGTTGGGAACTTCAGGATGGGTGAGGTGTAAAGGCCAATAACATTCTACCATGTTAGCAGTAGGCAGAGGCAGTTTTGCTGAGTCAGGCTGCCAAACTCTAGCCAAGTTCAAGAGATTCCACTAGACCTTGTGTCCCAGCCTTTTTAGGCCCAGCATGCATGCTTGCCCGCATGTGCCATGGCACAAGGTGGAGATCAGAGGACAACCTTCTAGGTGTTGGAACCCGGCATTATTCTGACTCCGCCTCCTGACACTGGGTGGGGCATGCATATCTGTATTCAGGCAGATACTTGGGCAGCTCAAAGGGCCCTGTGTTGCGTGGCCATGTCACGGCTGTGTCATGTATTATGGGGCTGTGTAGGGACTCAGTCCACATGTGCAAGCTTCCCCTTTTAAGCGAGCACCTTCCACATGTTCACTCTCTGCTTCTTTCTCTCTCTCCCCCTTCCCCCTTTTCTTCTTCCCTTTCCCTTCAATAAACCCCACGTGGGTTAGTGAGTCTCTTGGTTCGTGTTCCATGGCGCCTGTAGCTTAAACACATGAACAACACCAGGAGCTGGTTCTCTCCTTCCACCACGTGGCTAGTGGGAATCAAACTCAAATCATAGCCTTGGCTACAAGCTCATTTACCCACGAAGCAATCTCACCCACCCGTATTTACCATTTACCCTCTTTCAAATCTTGAATTAAATGTCACTTGTTTGACAAATACTTTTCTGCTCTCCAAAACAGGTTTGCTCCCGATTGCTGTTGCAAAGAACTGTTACTAAGTAACTAAGCCCAGACCAGGTATTTCCAGGTTCTTGGTTTCTTATATAAGTAATTAAAGGCAAACGGAGACTGCAATAGTTGCAAGAAAATTAACTTCACAGTGAAGTGACAGGACAGGTCAGATCCATTATCATGAGTGACAGGGGGCCAGAAGAAAGAAAGGACTCAAGGGCCCCAGGGTTTTTCCTTGGTGCTTCTAAAGGAAGGTGGGACTGTTACTAAAAGGCATAGTGGTTCTCCATTTTGATTGACAAACTTGTACTACCTAAGCCTTTGCTTGTTGTACATGTCCTTTCCATTATGCAACTAATTTTAGTTACATCTGTAACCAATTATGCATAGTCATAAAATGGTAAACAGTGTATTGTCTCTGAGAATTCACTTACAGGATACAATTTGTCCAACACCAGTTCAGGCCATATTGGTTCACCTTCTCTCATGCCCACCTATACCTAATGTATAATTGAATAGAATTACTCTAATCTAAGTTTGACTGTCATTAAGAAAGGGAGAAATTTACTCCACTGTTTGGAA